CTGTTATCTCCTCACACAGTGTGGCTCCCTCTGTTGTCTCCTCACACAGTGTGGCTCCCTCTGTTGTCTCCTCACACAGTGTGGCTCCCTCTGTTGTCTCCTCACACAGTGTGGCTCCTCTGTTCTCCTCACCCCAGTGTGGCTCCCTGTTGTCTCCTCACACAGTGTGGCTCCTCTGTTGTCTCCTCACACAGTGTGGCTCCTCTGTTGTCTCCTCACACAGTGTGGCTCCTGTTATCTCCTCACACAGTGTGCTCCCTCTGTTGTCTCCTCACACAGTGTGGCTCCCTCTGTATCTCCTCACAGTGGCTCCTCTGTTGTCTCCTCACACAGTGTGGCTCCCTCTGTTATCTCCTCACACAGGTGTGGCTCCTCTGTTGTCTCCTCACACAGTGTGGCTCCTCGTATCTCCTCACAGTGTGGCTCCCTCTGTTATCTCCTCACACAGTGTGGCTCTCTGTTGTCTCCTCACACAGTGTCCCTCCTGTTGTCTCCTCACACAGTGTGGCTCCTCTGTTGTCTCCTCACACAGTGGGCTCCTCTGTTGTCTCCTCACAGTGTGGCTCCTCTGTTGTCTCCTCACACAGTGTGGCTCCCTCTGTTGTCCTCACACAGTGTGGCTCCTCTGTTGTCTCCTCCACGTGTGGCTCCTCTGTTGTCTCCTCACACAGTGTGGCTCCTCTGTTGTCTCCTCACAGTGTGGCTCCTCTGTTGTCTCCTCACAGTGTGGCTCCTCTGTTGTCTCCTCACACAGTGTGTCCCTCTGTTGTCTCCTCCACACAGTGTGGCTCCCTGTTATCTCCTCACAGGTGTGGCTCCTCTGTGTCTCCTCACACAGTGTGGCTCCTCTGTTGTCTCCTCACACAGTGTGGCTCCCTCTGTTGTCTCCTCACAGTGTGGCTCCCTCTGTTGTCTCCTCCACAGTGTGGCTCTCCTGTTATCTCCTCACACAGTGTGGCTCTCTGTTGTCTCCTCACAGTGTGGCTCCTCTGTTATCTCCCTCACACAGTGTGTCCCTGTGTTTCTCCTCACACAGTGTGGCTCCCTCTGTTATCTCCTCACACAGTGTGGCTCCCTCTGTTATCTCCTCACACAGTGTGGCTCCTCTGTTGTCTCCTCACAGTGTGTGGCTCTGTGTTGTCTCCTCACACAGTGTGGCTCCCTGTTATCTCTCCACACAGTGGCTCCCTCTGTGTCTCCTCACACAGTGTGGCTCCTGTGTTGTCTCCTCACACAGTGTGGCTCCCTCTGTTATCTCCTCACACAGTGGCGCTCCTCTGTTATCTCCTCACACAGTGGCGCTCCTCTGTTGTCTCCTCACACAGTGTGGCTCCTGTGTTGTCTCCTCACACAGTGTGGCTCCTCTGTTATCTCCTCACACAGTGTGGCTCCTCTGTTGTCTCCTCACACATGTGGCTCCTGTGTTGTCTCCTCCACAGTGTGGCTCCTCTGTTATCTCCTCACACACTGTGGCTCCCTCTGTTATCTCCTCACACAGTGTGGCTCCTGTGTTGTCTCCTCACAGTGTGGCTCCCTCTGTTATCTCCTCACACTGTGGCTCCTCTGTTATCTCCTCACAGTGTGGCTCCTGTGTTGTCTCCTCACACAGTGTGGCTCCCTCTGTTGTCTCACTGACAGCAATGTGTTGGGACAAGGGGTGGGGGGAGGTTGCTTGTGATGTGTGTGAATCTACTACAGGACGACAATCACTTATTCGCCTAAGGGCGAAAATATAATAATAATAATAATATTAATAATAATAATAATAATAATAATGATAATAATAATAATGATAATAACAACAACAACAATAATAATAATAATAATAATAATAATAATAATAATAATAATAATAATAATAAATAATAATAACAATAATAACAATAATAATAATAATAATAATAATAATAACAATAATAATAATAACAATAATAATAATAATAAGATAACAATTATAATAATAACAATAATAATAATAACAATAATAATAATAATAAAATAACAATAATAATAAATAATAATAATGATAACAATTATAATAATAATAACAATAATAATAATAATAATAATAATAATAATAATAATAACAATAACAATAATAATAATAAATAACAATAATAATAATAATAATAATAATAATAATAATAATAACAATAATAATAATAATAATAATAATAATAATAATAACAATAATAACAATAATAATAATATAATAATAATAATAATAACAATAATCAATAATAATAATAACAATAATAATAATAATAATAATAATAATAATAATAATAATAATAATAATAATAATAATAATAATAATAATAACAATAATAACACAATAATAATAATAATAACAATAATAATAATAATAATAATAATAATAATAAATAATAATAATAATAATAATAAGGTTAGGGAGAGCCTGTGTAGTGGCGCTAATGATGTAGACAGGTTAGGGAGAGCCTTAGTGGCACTAATGATGGTGACAGGTTAGGAGAGCCTCGTAGTGCGCTAATGATGGTGACAGGTTAGGAGAGCCTGTGTAGTGTAATGATGGTGACAGGTTAGAGAGCCGTATAATGATGGTGACAGGTTAGGAGAGGCTGTAGTGGCACTAATGATAAGGTTAGGGAGAGCCCAGTGGCGCTAATGATGGTGACAGGTTAGGAGAGCCTCGTGTGGTGCCACGATGGTGACAGGTTAGGGAGATGCTCGTGTAGTGGCGCTAATGATGGTGACAGGTTAGGAGAGGCTCGTGTAGTGGCACTAATGATGGTGACAGGTTAGGGAGGCTCGTGTGGTGGCGCTAATGATGGTGACAGGTTAGGAGAGGCTCGTAGTGGCACTAATGATGGTGACAGGTTAGGAGAGCCTCGTGTAGTGGCGCTAATGATGGTGACAGGTTAGGGAGAGGCTTGTGTAGCTAATGATGGTGACAGGTTAGGGAGAGCCTCGTGTAGTGGCGCTAATGATGGTGACAGGTTAGGGAGAGCCTCGTGTAGTGGCGCTAATGATGGTGACAGGTTAGGAGAGCTCGTCTAGTGGCGCTAATACAGTAGTGAGGATGGTACAGCAGTTCTGGCGGTGTTAGCAGTTCTCAAGTATCCCGTAGTGTCATTTGGGGGTCAATCCGTCACACACGTTCTCACATCACCAGTTAGGAGGAAAATTTAACTTGGCAACCTTTGAGAATCCATTTATGTGTGGTAGCTTAAGTGAGTCAGTTATTATTATTATTATTATTATTATTATTATTATTATTATTATTATTATTATTATTATTATTATTATTATTATTTTTATTACCATTATTATTATTATTTATTATGATAAGTGTATATAAAGATATATAATATCAACAGTTTTACCAACAAATTACAAATATTTGATTAACAAGATAACAGTCGAGTCAATAATTTGGTGTTATAATTATTTCTGAGGCTTTTGTCTTGATGCTCATATGTTACTGTCATATGTTACTGTCATATGTTACTGTCATATGTTACTGTCATATGTTACTGTCATATTCTCTATACCTGTGTGACATAGATGAGACAAAGAGAGTGTATTACCGGCGGTCGAGAGAGATTGTGAGGTCTAGCTCGTGTCAGTCACCACACTGAGGCGTTCTTCTCTATAACTTTACGTTCTATCATCGCCAGGGATGTAAACACGAACGGGTAATTGAGCTTCACTAATAAATAAATAAATAGTTTAATATTAGTTATGTCCCCGTGAACCACCGTCCGGTATAATGTAATCAGGTGTTGTTACAAGACTATCTTTGTCCTCATTATATGTACGTAGCCATGTTGTTGTTACGTCATAAACTAACCTAACCAACAAGTTAAGGTGTTGTAACATGACCTGGGGTGTTTACGGGGCCAGTTAATGTGTTACGGCCGGAAAGAGTTATCGATCAGAGCTGTCCTCCTTCCTGCCCTCTACTGCCCTCCTCCTCCTCCTCCCCAAAGCTTCACTATCGCAGGAAGTTTAACAGTAAAGTAGAGAGAGATGTTGCGGGAGGAGGAGGGGAGGAGGACGGGGGAGGGGGAGGAGGGGAGGGAGGACGGGGGGAGGGGGAGGAGGACGGGGAGGGGAGGGAGGAGGGGGACGGGGAAGGGGAGGAGAGGGAAGGGGGAGGGGAGGAGGGGAGGGAAGGGGAGGGGGACGGGGGAGGGGGGAGGAGGAGGAGGAGGGGGGGAAGAAGAGGGAGGAGGGGAGGAGGGGAGGGGAGGAGAGGAGGGGAGGGGAGGAGGAGGGGGGATGGAGGAGGGAGGGGAGGAGGGGAGGAGGAGGGGAGGAGGGAGGGGGAGAGGAGGGGAGGAGGGAGGGGAGGGAGGGGAGGGGAGGAGGAGGGAGGGAGGAGGAGGAGGGAGGGAGGGAGGGAGAGGGAGGAGGGAGGGGGAGGGAAGGGAGGGAGGTGGGGAGGGGAGGAGGGGAGGCGTGGGAGGGAGGGAGGGAGGTGGGAGGGGAGGGAGGTGGGGAGGGGGAGGAGGGAGGCGGGAGGGGAGGGGAGGCGTGGGAGGGAGGAGGGAGGCGTGGGAGGGGAGGAGGGAGGCGGGGAGGGAGGAGGGAGTGTGGGAGGGGAGGAGGGAGGCGTGGGTTATAACTGTCAACATTATCATCTACTTGTGGGTTATAACTGTTAACATTATCATCTACTTGTGGGTTATAACTGTTAACATTACCATCTACTTGTGGGTTATAACTGTTAACATTATCATCTACTTGTGGGTTATAACTGTTAACATTATCATCTACTTGTGGGTTATAACTGTTAACATTATCATCTACTTGTGGGTTATAACTGTTAACATTATCATCTACTTGTGGGTTATAACTTGTTAACATTATCATCTACTTGTGAGTTATAATTGTTAACATTATCATCTACTTGTGAGTTATAACTGTTAACATTATCATCTACTTGTGGGTTATAACTGTTAACATTATCATCTACTTGTGGGTTATAACTGTTAACATTATCATCTACTTGTGAGTTATAACTGGTTAACATTATCATCTACTTGTGGGTTATAACTGTTAACATTACCATCTACTTGTGGGTTATAACTGTTAACATTATCATCTACTTGTGGGTTATAACTGTTAACATTATCATCTACTTGTGGGTTATAACTGTTAACATTATCATCTACTTGTGGGTTATAACTGTTAACATTATCATCTACTTGTGGGTTATAACTGTTAACATTATCATCTACTTGTGGGTTATAACTGTTAACATTATCATCTACTTGTGGGTTATAACTGTTAACATTATCATCTACTTGTGAGTTATAACTGTTAGCATTATCATCTGTATGGGTTATAACTTTATTAACATTATCATCTCTACTTGTGGAGGTTATAACTGTTAACATTATCATCTATGGCGATTATAACTGGTTAACATTATCATCTACTTGTAGGTTATAACTGTTAACATTACCCATCTACTTGTGAGTTATAACTGGTAACATTATCTATCACTTGTAGGTTATAACTATTAACATTATCATCCACTTATTAAGGTTCTTTATTAACATTATCATCTACTTGTAGGTTATAACTGTTAACATTATCATCTACTTATTGAGTTATAACCCATTATATTATCATCACTTAATGAGTTATAACTGTTAACATTACCATCTAACTTGTGAGTTTATAACTTATTAGCATTATCACATATACTTGTGGGTTATAACTGTTAACATTATCATCTACTTGTGGGTTATAACTATTAACATTATCATCTACTTATGAGTTATAACTATTAACATTACCATCTCTTGTGGGTTATAACTGTTAACATTATCATCTACTTGTGGGTTATAACTATTAACATTATCTCATCTAGCATGGGTTACCAACTGTTAACATTATCATCTACTTGTGGGTTATAACTGTTAACATTATCATCTACTTGTGGGTTATAACTGTTAACATTATCATCTACTTGTGGGTTATAACTGTTAACATTATCATCTACTTGTGGGTTATAACTGGTTAATATTATCATCTACTTGTGGGTCATATCATATCGTGTTTGTCTTACACTTGGTCAACTCTGCTTTTCATTATAAATTATACCTAAACAACAACATTGTATAATATCATAATTCAACATCAGAGCCGCACCTGACCCCCAAGCAGACCAACACTGTCCACACCTGTTTCTGTCATCAACTAGATCATGTAAAAGATGTACAACCTGGATGTGTATGTTTAATTTATTTAACATTTATAAATAGAAAGCTCTCACATTACCAATGAGTCAGGTAGGTACTTTCTCACATCACCAGTTAGGAGGAAAATTTAACTTGGCAATCTTTGATAATCCATCTATGTGTGGTAGCTTAAGTGAGTCTTGGGTCGTATTGGTTTAATAAACAAATGAATAAAACACATTAAACAAAACAAAGCTAAGTGCAATAAACAGACGATAATCAAATATCAACAAACAGGTAATGGACTCTTCACTTCTCCTCAAATTTGCTCCTTATTTTTCCTGTCTTTTCAAAACAATATAAGCCAGAAAACATTTAAATAACGCCCTAAAAATTCAATAAAAACCACTCAGCTTCAAAACAGCAGGAGGAGGGCAGCACGAGGGGCCATTTACCAGATTTCATTAGCATATCTATTAGGTGGAGTCGCGCCTACGCCTGATTACTGAGCAGGGAGGGGACGCTTGGGAACCATTAATATACGACCCGACGCTCAAGGTGTGTGTGTGTCCCAACCCTGTCACGGCGCCAGGTTCAAGTTATACCTCCGCTTGAGTTTTAGCTTGGAGGATGATATGTTTTAGCTATACCCTTCCTCCACCACCCTCACCACACTACACCCCCTCCATCACCCCCACCACACTACACCCCACCATCACCCCCACCATCACCCCCACTACACCCCATCACACTACACCCCTCCACCACCCTCACCACACCACACCCCTCCATCACCCCACCACACCACCCACACCACACCCCTCCATCACCCTCAACACACTACACCCTCCATCACCCCACCACACCACACCCCACCACACTACACCTCCATCACCCCACCACACTACACCCCTCCATCACCCCAACACTACCCATCACCCCACCACACTACACCCCACCACACTACACCCTCCATCACCCCCAACACATGACATAGGAATAAAGAAAGGAATTTATAAGAAATTAAAAGGGAGGGGAGCAGCTCAGAAATAGGTATAATGAACTATCTAGGAATGTTAAGAAATGTAAAAGCAAAGAGAGACTATGAAATCAGAATAGCAAGAGAATCCAAGGCGAATCCCATGATTTTTCCTGGTATATAGGACAAAGGTCAAGGACAAAGATGGGCCTTTAAAGTCAGGGGGGGGGAAGTGATCAATGGCAGGAAGAAATAAGAAAGCATTAAACAGCTACTTTTTATCAGTTTTTCACGAAGAAATTATGAGGAAATTCCAGAGGTGGAACTGATATTTAGGGAAAGGAAGAAGAGAAATTAAAGAATATCACTATCAGAAAAGAGATGTTCTTAAGAGGATAAATAAATTAAAGAAGACAAAATCTCCAGGGCCGATGAAATTTTTCCTCGAGTCTTGAAAGAGTGGTAAAGCAGATTAGCGGACCTCTTGTAAATTTATTTACAAAATCATTAGACACTGGAGTTGTGCAGACTTGGTAAAAAGGCAAATGTAGACCCATATTCAAAAGGAGACAGAGCATCAGCAAATTACCGCCGATCAGTTTAACGTCAGTAGTGAAATTTCTTGAATCAAATTATAGCAGATAGCATCCGATCGCATTTAGAGAAAAGCAAATTAATCTACGACTCTCAACATGGCTTTCAAAGGAAAATCTTGTCTAACAAATCTGCGTGACGTTTTTAGGAAAGTCTTCGGAGGTAGTAGATAATGACGAAAATTACGATGATATTTACTTAGACTTTAGCAAAGCATTTGACAGAGTACCGCATCAGAGGCTTGAGAAAAGAAGAGGCTCATGGAATCGAGGAAAGTTTAAATTGGATAAAATCATGGTCACCGATAGAACGCAGAGGTAGATGGTGTTAAATCTGAGTGGGCTGTAACCAGTGGGATTCTTCGGTCAGTACTGGCCCACTTGTTCATAATCTACATAAGCGATCAGATACTGGGATCAGCAGTGACATAAGCGTTTGCGGATGACACCAAAAATAGGGCGCCAGATTAATTCAGGGCAGGATGCAAATGCACTACAGGAGGATTTAAATAAACTGCAGGAGTGGTGGTAAAATGGCAAATGAAATTCACACCAGCAAGTGAAGCGCACTAAATATTGGAAAACAAATACTGGCACTGTATACAGCCTTAACAACATCAACCTAGAGAAGTCGACTTGTGAAAGAGACTTAGGGTACTTAAGTCCGGACCTACGGCCTAGAAAACAGTGCGTTAATGTTCGAATAAGGCAAACAGAGTATTAGGTTTTATATCTAGAAGTGTAAGTATAAGAGTGCAGGAGGTCTTATTGCAAATATATTTTGCGCTAGTCAGCCGCACTTCGATTATGCGGTTCAGTTCTGGTGCCCTTATTATAGAATGGATATAATTACTTGAGTCGGTGCAGCGAAGAATGACGAAAATGATTCCGGGAATTAGAAACCTACCATATCAAGATAGGTTAAAGAAACTAAACTTGCATTCCTAGAAAGACGAAGAGTGCGGGGAGATATGATAGAAGTATTTAAGTGGGTGAAGGAATCAATAAAGGCGATATAGATAAAGTTCTTATAATATCCGAGCAGGATAGGACTCCTGGAGCGACGGATTGTTGATAAATAGGAGGAGATAGGAAGGAACTGGTTCACAAAAGGGTGGTGGACGAGTGAACAAGTAGCAACTTTGTAGTAAGTGCTGGGACGCTGGAAAGTTTCAAAAGGAGGCTAGATAGAATCATGGATGATAGAGAGGTGTAGTATCTCGATAGACTGCCATGCACAGGCCAACCGGCCTATTGCAGACTCATTTTTATGTTCTTATGTTATGTTCACACTACACCTTCCATCACTCCCACCACACTCACACCCTCCATCACCCCACCACCTAACCCCTCCATCACCCCTCACCCCACACCACACCCTCCATCACCCCCACACCACACTACACCCCTCCATCACCCCACCACACTACACCCCTCCATCACCCCACCACACCACACCCTCCATCACCCCACCACACTACACCTCCATCACTCCCCACCACACTACACCCCTTCCCACACCCCCACCCTAACCCACCTCCATCACCCCCACCACACCACACACCTCCATCACCCCCACCACACCACACCTCCACCCCACCACACTACACCCTCCATCACCCCCACCACACTACACCCCCTCCATCACCCACCACACACACCCTCCATCACCCCCACCACACTACCCCTCCATCACCCCCAACACACTACACCTCCATCACCCCCACCACACACACCCCATCACCCCACCACACTACACCCTCCATCACTCCCACCACACTACACCCTTCCATCACCCCCACCACACTACACCCCTCCATCACCCCCCAACCACACCACACCCCCTCCATCACCCCCACCACACTACACCCTCCATCACCCCCACCACACTACACCCTTCCATCACCCCCAACACACACTACACCCTCCATCAACCCCACACTACACCCTCCATCACCCCCACCACACTACAACCCCATCACCCCCACCACACTACACCTCACTGGTCAGGTATTAAAGGTCATTAATTACGCCTCACATTTTAGCGTACCATAAACTAGACCACAAAAGATCGTATGTTTATTTAGCTGTAGCTGGGATCCCGTTAACAGTTAATTGAGCTTTTATCATTAAACGAATATCACTGAAATAATGAAACGGTGACACTACGCCGGGAATAAATGATATATATATAAATATCTTTTTTTACACGACAATGTGAACTTTAAAATCTGGTCCTTCTGTGTTGATGGATTACGTCACCAGGTAAACAAACCATCAGCCAATCACAAGGTCAGCATTCAGCTGGGAAAATTCCTATTGGCTGTTTTCATTCATAAAAGAACGAGAAAAGGAAGAAAAGAGAGATGAATGATAAGGTCTCTCTCTCTCTCTCTCTCTCTCTCTCAGTAACACAAGGTATACCCATTAATCAGAGAGACAACGGCATATAACAGAACCACGACGCTAATATTAAAGAGAGAGAGTTTAATGTTGAATACCTGGGAGTCTCTCACCTGGGAGTCTCTCACCTGGGAGTCTTACAACACCGCCACCACACAACAAACATCATTAGCCACCACACAGCAAACATCATCAGCCACCACACAACAAACATCATCAGCCACCAACAACAAACATCATCAGCCTCCACAGCCGCAACACAACAAACATCATCAGCCACCACACAACAAACATCATCAGCCACCACACAGCCACCACACAACAAACATCATCAGCCACCACACAGCCACACAACAAACATCATCAGCCGCCACACAGCCACCACACAGCCACCACACAACAAACATCATCAGCCACCACACAGCCACCACACAACAAACATCATCAGCCACCACACAGCCACCACACAACAAACATCATCACGCAACACAGCCACACAACAAACATCATCAGCCACCACACAGCCACCACAACAAACATCATCAGCCACCACACAGCCACCACACACAACAAACATCATCAGCCGCCACACAGCCACCACACAACAAACATCATCAGCCACACAGCCACCACACAACAAACATCATCAGCCACCACACAGCCACCACAACAAACATCATCAGCCGCCACACAGCCACCACACAACAAACATCATCAGCCACCACACACCACACAACCATCAGCCACCACAGCCGCCACACAACAAACATCATCAGCCACCACACAGCCACCACACAACAAACATCATCAGCCACACAGCCACACAACAAACCATCATCAGCCACCACACAGCCACCACAACAAACATCATCAGCCA